CAAGGAGTCAGCTTTTGGCTGGCTGTATTGACATCTGGGCACTCCAACTCGCTGCCTCAGTCGCGTGTCCCGGGGTAAATGCAAGCAGCCTGTCGTCATCTTGTTCGCGGGGGTCAGGAATGTGACCCTGCTAATTGTGGAGACTGAACTCATGAGAAAGGCACATGGTTGGACACCCCCCCAACACATCTCCCGTCCCCCACAAGCTGGCAAGGAACAAGCAGGAATCCACACCAGAATGCATCTGATGACACTGAGCAAGTAGCTCATCTCAAAGGTATGAGCCTCTGTTCACCCCTGAATCAGCGTCAGCCCAAACGTAACATGCACGGGGGCGGGGGTGCTTTGAATTTGGGCCCTGGAATTGAGAATTCGTGGCTACAATTCCTGGCTATTGATTCCTGGCTATTGATGGCTACCAGCCACGAAAGCCATGCTCTGGCTGCACAGTTGGAGCCAGCAATGGTCTTAACAGTGCTTTTTTCCCTGGGGGGACACATACCCCTTAACATTTTGTGAATCTAAGTCTGGCCTCATTGAGGGACAGTACTGTATTTCAATATGAGTAGGATAATGAGAGTACACCTAAACTTATTTTTATATAGAAATAAAAGCACTGCTTCTAGATACCAGTGGCTGGAAACCACAGGAGGGGAGAGTTGCTCTTGAGCCCTGCTTGCGGGCTCCTCAAAGCCATCTGGCTAGCCATTGTGAGAACAGGGTGCTGGGCTGATGGGCCATTGGCCTGGTCCTGCAGGTACTTCTTGCAGGAATGTTCAGGGAGGCAGAAGAGGATACAGTGGTACCTTGGGTTACAGACGCTTCAGGTTACAGACTCCGCTAACCCAGAAATAGTACCTCAGGTTAAGAACACTTTCAGGTTAAGAATGGACCTCCAGAACAAATTAAGTTCTTAACCCGAGGTACCACTGTATATTGTTTAATTATATCCTTCCCAACTTGCTTTAACAAGTTCTATGATTTAGCAGAGTAACATTCCTCTTTTTAAACTTGCACAGTGGATAACACCTTTGCTGGGCTTGCATAAGCCTCTAAAATAAGTTTCCTGGTAAATCCCCTTTATTCCCTCTTAAAAGAATAGACACGACACAGTCTTGTATAAAAGTATATAAAATAGTTTACTCACACATCCTGTTCACAGGTGGATCCCAGAAGGCAGACTTAAGTTACAAAATATATACAGGTGGAATCTATCCCATAAGGAGATAGTTCCTTTGTCCTCTCTTGGCTGGAAGCCAAGGGAGCATCTCAGGCTAAGGAGATGTTACTTCTTCGAAGAATGGAGTCAGAGAGAGAGGTGGCTGCCTCCCCTGTGGTATTTTGTTACCTGCACAGGTGAGGCCACGCCCACCTCTGGTCACATGCAGAGGAAGTCTGTCCCAGCCCAGGAGGAAATAGGAAGTTCCGACTGGCTGGTCCAGACATCCCCTTTAATGTTGTATTTGACTGCTTTGTGTTTCGCATCCCACACTTCTTACAGGAACACAAGGCAGCATTTTCTTGCAGGTCAAAGGTGTCTTCTTAGCACTTATTCTGGTAAGTGAACACTTTCCACCTTGATTTGTCTGCTAAGGATCGCCTGGGGAGAGGCTTTCATGCACCTGTTACTGGGCAGCCTTCCCCACCTGTCAGTCTCCGTATGCCTTGGACTGCGACTCCCATAACCCCCAACCAGACTGCTCTCTCATTTCAAGGCTCTTCCCTCCAAAGGAGGCTGCCCCATGGAAGATGAGCAAGCTTGCTTTCTGCTGCTCCTGGACCAGTGGATTCAATTTGCAGGAAAGGAGATTCCAAATAAACACCAGGAAATACTTTCTGAATGTAAGAGCTGTTCAACCATGGAACGAACTGCCTCAGAAGCTGGTAGACCCTCCTTCACTGGAGGTTTTTGAAAAGAGGTTGGATGATGGCCACCTGTCAGGGCTACCTGAGCTGTGATCCCTGCCTTGCAGGGGGTAGGACTAGATGATTCCTGGAGTCCCTTCTGATTCCCCAATTCTATGAAAGAGAGGAAAGGAGGGTTAAGTGTGGCAGATAAGATGCTGTCCCACAGAAGCAGTGTTTCTGAGGACGCTAGGATCCTCACTGAAGTGACTCAGGGGACCATTTTCCCCCCACAGAATATTGCTGCTTCCTGAAGGAAACCCAGAGCTCCTCTGCACCTCTGTTCTTGCCACGAGCAGCGACTGCAGAGAGAGCCCGGCTGTTTCTCCCCAGAGGTAAGCCAGGAATTGTTCCAAAGACAGGAGCAGGATGGGGGCGGGCGGTTGGGGCTGCATTTCCAGGGCTTAGCTGGAAAAAGCAGCTCACAGGCCACATGCGCAATCTGAGCCCATGAATCAGCTTGAGCTGCCGCAAAGACACCCGCCTTCGGTGCCCCCCTTACCTGTCATCCTTCCTGCCCCCACCCCACAGAAACAGGATTTATCCATGCAGGGCCCTCCTCGGGAACAATGTGCTCCTTCAATTAGTTTACATAGGTAGATTTTTTGCCACAAAAGGACTCAAGACAGACAGTAATTCCTTATAATTTTTTTAAAGCATGGCACAGGTGACAGAGTTTGTTGACCATTTTGGTCATTCCTGTGCTGCAGGGTAAATTGGTTGTTGTGGATGATGCTTTGTGGAGGCATCACTTATCCTACAATGGCCTAATCCAGACAAGCAACACTTGAAGGGCACAGCAGCACTTCAGATGGAGGCTTTCCCCAGGGAAGACATGTGCAAATTCCTTTCATGTGCAAACTTACAACAGCAGGGAGTTGCTTCCAGTTAGAAACACCCTCTTCCACCACAGAAACTTGGGCCCAATAAATGTGGAATACAGTGGTGCCCCGCAAGACGAATGCCTCGAAAGACGAAAAATTTGCTAGACGAAAAAACTCGCGGAACGAATTAATTTCGTCTTGCGAGGCACCACTGTACAGCATTTATGGCGTGCCTAACTCACCATCAGAGGGCGATAAGAGGGATATCAAAGAAAGATGGGTTTGACTCCATATGCTCTCAATTTATATCATTTATTAACAATAGTACAGCACAGTAATAATAATAATTATTTTATTATTTGTAGCCCGCCCATCTGACTGGGTTGCCCAGTAATCTCCCTGCCACCTCAGTTGCAGCGGCCACTGTGGAGAAATTATCTCAACTCTCTAGGCTGTGAGCTTAATCTGGAATCTAAAGGATTTTCCTAGCCTGTTGTGATGCCATGTGGATGACTGCATACAAGATTTAACATCTGTGCATGCATTTGTGCTGGCAAACAACACTCTGGGCTGGAGCGCCCAGGAGGAGGATGGAGGCAGCCCCCGCGGGTGGCACAAACCCTCCCCTGCCACCACAGCTGCTGCAACTTCTCCTGTGGCAAGGGGTGCCCTGACCACCCACTGCTGCTGCCACCAAAGAGGCAAGGAGAAGCGACTGCAACTTCCAGGTTTGGGCAAGATCTTGCAGAGCTCTCATGAGATGTCGCAGGAACACAGAAGCTGCAGCCAGGTGGCCTAACCTTAGGTCTGAATAGCTGCTCATAATGGCCTTCAGAAGCTGGCCCCTGTCACCTGTCACACACCTTGCCTTGGGGTCTCAACACCTGGCACGATATGCGAGAGCCTGGCTCCAGTTGCACAAGCCTTGGGGGGAAAAACCAAACAGCAGGCCTCCAGGTTCAGCACAGCATTGCTTCCTGCAGCCCTAAAGGATGGGATGTTGTACACACTTGGGATGGACTCGTTCCAGCATCTTGCCATATAAGGCCAGGCAGTTAGTGAATCGATGCCAGAGGGAGCCCCGGAGGCCTGTGTCTCCCCAGACCGAGTAAATGCCCAGGATTCTGGTGCAATGACTTCACGGCCCTTAATTTAGACCACTCCTCACCCCGGCTAATGACCAGTAGCTGTCAGGAGGTGAGTAACCAGGGGGTCACTCCTCCTTCCTTCGGGTAAGGATCCAGCCCCGGTACACCACCGCCAGTCTCTTGCAGTTATGCTAGGCTGTCTATGGACAGATCTGGCTGCTCCCTTCTCCCTTGTGGCTTCACAGCTGTTCTTCCTCCAGTTATGGCTGCCTGCCATATATTCCTGTGGACAGCGGGGAACAAAGTTCAGTGCACACCACGAGTCAGCAAAAAACAGAAAGGGCACAGGGTGTTTTTCTGGGGCAGGGATGCAGAATTCAGTTTCCTGAGCATTCTCACATTCATGTTTGCTTTGAAAACAAGTTTCTAGCCCTTATGTTTTGTTTTGTTTTAAATAAAATATTTTTTATTTCTTGCATTTTCATCCCGCCTTTTTCTGCAAGAAACTCAAGGTGGCAAGCACAGCTTCTCCCCTCATTTAACAACAACCCTTTGAAATAGAATAGGCTGAGAGATTTAGTGGCTGGCCCAGGGTTCCCGAGTGCGGTTAATGGCTGAGTGGGGATTTGAACCCTGGTCTCCCAGGTCCTAGTCTAACACTTCCACCACTACACCACACTGGATTTGTACTGCTATAATGCCTGGCAAGGTCTCAGGGGGCTGCTGAATAAAATTTCACAGTGCCTTTCTCCAACTCTGTAACAAGTGAGAGCAGCAGAATAAGGGGGGCTTCCAAGCCATGGATTAATTTGCAAACAGGGTGTTGAGACGGCACAAATGGATATGGGGCAACAGGGGGTTTTTTTGTTTTTACTCATCAGATTTCCCCTGGAAAGGGTAAATCTGGATTAAATGTGGGGGCAGGGCGGAATACAGGATTTTGAAACCACAACATGCATGCACAAGAAGCACAGTTGTCACAATGAACACCTGTCTGGAAGCACCCGAAATTGTGCAAAATACAAAAGGGCTGCAGAATCAACCCAACTGCCAGAGGCACAGAGAAGAAACTGCCATGTTTAAAAGATTGGGACCTTCTCAGCAGGGAGAAGCTGCCATTAGATGGGGTGAGGCAGCTGGTTTTGAGTGCTTTTAGTTTATTATTCTTATTCTTATTCTTATTCCTCCCAGGGAGAACGACTCATGGGATTTTCTGCTTCAGATGCCAGACTAGCTGGGCCAGTCTTGGACCCAAGAAGAAAGTATATTGCACCAAATCCAGGACAGCCTGGATGGTGTAGTGGTTAGGCTGCTGGACTAGCACCTGGGAAGCCAAGGTTCGAATCCCCATTCAGTTCTGCCACTCCCTGGGCGGCCTTGGACCAGTCACAGCCTCTGAGCCTAACCTACCTCGCAGGGTTGTTGTGAAGAGAACAATGAGGAGGAGGAGGAGGAGGAGGACCATGTAGATAATAAATGCAATAAAATGCAGTCTTGACTGGAAGACAGGGGAGACCATTTGCTATGTGGCCTCCGGCAGCCACCTGTCTTGGGCCAGCCTTGGAGTCAAAGACCATTTCCAGCTGCAATTCCAAGAGGCTCTTGGAAGCTTTGAAGAGCTTGGCAACTGCCTCCTCCCACCCTAAGCCTGTCCACATCTGACGGCCCTTTTCAGAAGCCCTGGGTGGGTGATGGCCTCGTTCAGTTGAAGGTCTTAATTTAAATCAGTGGTTTCCAAAGTGGGCAGTGGGATTACCTAGGAGAAGTTGGTAAGAGGCAAGTGGATGGTAGGGGGTGCTAGAGATGCAAAAGACCAGTGCTTTTGTTCTGGGGGTACGCAGAGGCCTGCATACCCCTAAACATTTTGTGAATCTTTGTACTTTTTCCCATTTACTGTATTTATTTCCCCCGATTTGAACTATAAAATGGAGATTTTCTTGAGTCGAAATGAGAGTACCCCTAAATGTTTTTTTGGGGGGGAGCACTGCAAAAGACTATCAGACTTTGAAAAGATGGTCTCACTGGACCAAGTTAATGAGTTGAATTAATTAAATTACATAGTTTTAACTGGATGTTGAATAAATGCGCAACTCATTGTTACTGTTTGGAATTTTATCATCTTCCTTAGTGGGTCATACAAACCACTATTCTGAATAATGTTTTTAATAGGGTAGGGGCACTTGGGATGAGTTCATGGACCGGGGGGGGGGGTCCTGAAAAAGTTTGGGAACCATTCTGAGTCAGAAATCCTTTGTGATTGGCTGCAATTCTAAAAAGTTTATGTGGGAGTTTGCTCACCATCAGAGAGTGGGGGTGTTGTTGTTGCCGAGTTCTGCCCCCATGGCAAAATGTATAGATCTGGCATTGTTTGGTTCCCCAGAAGAGCTGGGTGATCATCCCACAAGCAGGTGGTGGAACTTCATCTCTCTCAAATGGCCTGCACTGAATTAAAGCAAACCGCAGCACTTGAACAAACGTGGAGGGGGTGTGTGTGTGCTTTCTCTTTCTGCAGTTTTATAAGCCCCGTTCCTGGAATCTTCCCTGGTCCTTTGAGGCAAGGGATGTGTTTTTTTCCAGGCCTGAAAATATGGCTCAGAAAGAGAAGGCTGCAGGCTGCTTGAAGTCAGATGTGGCCCAGAGATGGAGCATTAAAGGGATGCTCAAGAACACGAACAGCGCTGCATGCCCACATTTAATTGCATGTTTGCTAAATTGGCACCCAAAAGGTTTTGGTTTTGGTTTGCTGGCCACCAAAGGAATAATTCTGGTTCAAATAATAGTTTGCAGAATCCAAATATCATGAGCAATTAACTATTCCGCCCCCCCCCCCTGCGCCCCCCAGAGAGATTCTGCAGCTCTCGTTTCTTGAGTCTTGACTTGAGAGAAAGAGTGGGGAGGTGGTGACAGTATGGCCTAGGGGTTATGGTGTCAAACCAGGGCCTGGGAGAGACCAGGGTTTGAATCCTCCCCTTGGCCAGAAAGCTTTCTGGGTGGCCTTGGGGGCCAGCCACCGCTTCTCAGCTTAACCTCCCTTGCAAAGATAAAATGTTGCAAAGATAAAATGGAGAGGAAGAGAACCAGGCATGCTCTATTGAGCTCTTGGAGGAAAGGTGGGCTATAAATGCTGGTTGGCAAGCGTCGTGACACCCGGGGCGGGGCGTACATAGCAACACCACACATGCGCTGTACATAGCAGTTTGCCAGCAGCAGTGCTCAAGAGCCGTATGGACGGTGCCGGGATCCTCCGTTCGCAGTTGTAGCGGCGACGGAGGGATCCCACCGCCGTCTGTATGGTGCTCCAGTAGCGCCGCCGGCAAACCGCTATGTACAGCGCATGTGCGGCGGCATTACATATGGCGCATGCATGTGACGCTGCACATGCGCTGTACATAGTGGTTCGCTGCCAGCACCGGGATCTTCTGCTTGCGGCTGCAGTAGTGAACAGAGTTTCCCCCACATGCGGCTGCAGCGGCGTGATGGCTGCTCGCGCCTCCGCGAGCCCCCGCGGGGTGGCTTCTTGTCGTCACCCCCCCCAGACATGGCACCCGGGGCGCACCGCCCTCCCTGCCCCCTGTTGCGACGCCACTGCTGGTTGGTTGGCATCCATCTGTCCTGGGAGACCATGAAGAAGTGTGCCTTTGGAGGTGAAGCCAAACCATTGGAAGGTTGCAGCCCCTGCTGTGGCTGTAGAGACCAACACGGACGAGACATGTTTTGTTGCAGCTGGGGCAGATGTGGGTGTTTGATGCACCGTGCTGTGTCTTCTCTCTGCACTCCTCCCATTGGTCACTCCTCCTCTGTTCACTGCCATTTGTAACATAGAGCTGGTCTGGCAACAGGCCTGGTGCCTGAAGCCAGCTCCCCCTAGAGCACATCCTTGGGGATCCTGCCTTCTCCCATTCTGTGGACATGGCCAAGCCAGCAAAGATATAAATGCAACAAACAAACAAACAAACGTGTGGTTTTGGCGTCTGTCCCGCTGGGCTCTCTTCTTCCTCCCGCTGGCTGCTTCTCAGCAGCTCCACACATACTGTTTTCCACCAGGCATCTACGGTTGGACAAGAGAAGTGATCTTTAAAGAGGAGACCTACACAAGACCCCCTATTGAATCGACAGCAATGGTGAGCCTTGGATCGCAGACTGTCTGCTTCTCACCTCTGCCAAAGGACAGACTTGGAGGTTGTGGAATCTACTTTGGGATTCTATTTTTACTAGAATCCTGAGGCCCAGCAACTGAGATTAGGTGGGAAATGGTGACTTGGGAGGTAGATGCTGATGCAAAATGGTGGTTTACCAGGGGAGCAGAGCCCTTTCCCTCCTGTATATACGCCAGTGGTTGGGAGACCAGGGTTCAAATCCCGCTCAGCCATGGAGCTCACTGGGCCAGTCACTCAAACCCACCTTGTAGGGCGGTTGTTGTTGTGGGGATTAAATGAGGAGGGAGAGAGAACTATGTGTGCCAACTTGAGCTCCTTAGAGAAAAAGGTGGGAGAGAGATGCAGCAAATATTGATAATAATTTTAATGCAGCTTCTCAGAGGGATCTGATATAATTGACTTCATTTCTGGGAAATTAAAACCCTGAATCTCATATAGCTCCTGTCGAGCCATTTGGAGGCAAGATTTGCCCAGCCACAAGCAGAACTTGCGGCCCTGAATTCTTCAGTGTAAAGCATGACAGAAATAAAACACTGGGACAAATCAAGTAGGAGTTCTGCTGCTATAAAAAAATAAAAATCTTTTCTTAACCGTTATTTCCACAGAATAGCTTTGTGATGTGGTTCCCCCTGCTGGAAATGGGGAAGCCACTCAGAGTCTGTTTGCTCCTTTCGGATGCCAGAGCTCTTCCTCTCACACATCCCGCCATTAATCCACAAAATTGGCAGTGGGGGCTGTGGGGGTGGGCAAATTCATGGATGATAAATCTATCAGTAGCTACTAGTTAGGGGCTTCCATCAGGATCAAGATGATTCTGAATCCCGGTTGTTAGGAATCCCAAGTGGGGAGGGGGCTGATGAGAACAGGATGCTGGGCTGAGTGGGGAACCTTTGCCCCTCCAGATATTGCTAGGATACAACTACATCTCTTGCTCTCAGCTTACTGAAGCTGATGGGAGTTGTTGTCCAACAACATCTGGGGGACCAGCCGTTCCCCACACCTGAGGTCATGGCAATGAAAATAACGAATAGCGCTGGGGCAATAACACAACCCTGTTTAACACCTGATCCCACTGCGAATGATTCACTTTGACAGCCATTGTTATCTGCAATTGTTGCTGTCATATTATCATGGAGGAGCAGAATGGTGTTTACAAATTTATCTGGGCAGCCAGTTTTCAGAAGGACAGTCCACAGGGCATTACGATTTACAGTGTCGAAAGCCTTAGTCAGGTCAATAAACGGCATATACAGGGGCTGGTTTTGCTCTCTGCATTTTTCTTGAAGCTGTCGAGCGGTGAAAATCATGTCCACTGTCCCCCTAGAAGGCCGAAAATCATTTTGGGATTCAGGAAGGGTCACCTCGGATATTGTTAAGAGACTGTTTGCTAAGATCCTAGCAAGAATTTTGCTGGCCACAGCTAATAGAGAGATGCCTTGATAGTTTCCACAATCAGTTCTGCCACCTTTTTAAAAAGAGGTTGATAATTTTGGCATCCCTAAAGTCTGCTGGGATCTCTTCTCTTTCCCAGATTTTTTCAATGAGCTTGTGAAGTTGTTGTGTAAGTTCAATTCTGCCCACTTTGAAGATTTCGGCAGGTATCCCATCAGGTCCACTGGCCTTGTTGTTTTTCTTTTGGTTAATAGCTGTACACTTTGAAGACACTCAAACTCAGGATGCAAGGGAGAAACATGCTAAGAGGAAGGCACGCTTGGCAAATCCACACCGTGATCAACTCCCACCTGGAAACCAACGTCCCCATTGTGGAAGGACGTGTGGATCCAGAATTGGCCTCCACAGTCGCTTACGGACTCTTTGTTAAAACCGTGTTTATGGAAGACAATCTTACTCGGCTACAAGGGATCGCCAAAGAAGAAGAAGACACCTGAGGTAAGCCTTTGGTCTGACCTTGCGGGGATCCTCTTATGATCTTGTGATGGTATTTCTCTTGTGTGGGCCTGTGTCACTGAGATCACACAGGAGACGTTTCATCAGCAAACTATCCGGTATGCTTTGCTGTTGCTTCAGTCATTGTGGCATGATGGGTCTTCCTTCCCCTTTCCTTCTGCGAGGACCCTGTCTTGGTACTTTTTTTCAGTGGGGATTATTTACTTCATTGAGCAACAGAGCTGGTGCCGCAGGGAGGTTAAAAGCATGAGCTATGAGTCTGTGATCTTAGCTCAGCCTTAACAGAAGGGCCTTGTTTGCACATCATGGTAGATCCACTGTTCACTGTTTACCATAAATTCTCCTCCCTGCTAGCGTACAGCAGACACAAAGCATGATCCTCGCCTTAGCATCACATCCAAACTGGGCATTGGGTTTGCGCTGCTCCAAACCAACCATGATTTGCAGCTGTGCTTTGCTCTTGGCTTAGTGGTTGCGATTTGCTTGAGTTATGATGCATTAACAACAAAGATGCCATTCTTGCATAGTATTTGTATACTGTACTGTGATTTAGATGTACCGTATTGGCCTGAATATAAGCCGCACCCAAATATAAGCTGCACCTTTAAAATTCAAGGGGGGGGGGAGGAAAAAAGACAATACCACCTGAATATAAGCCGCGCATTTAAAATTCTGCAGGCACTCACACCCATTCTGTTTTACTGTATATTTGTTTCAGCAGCGATATCATAAAAGCCAATTTTTGTAAGGTCGCAAATTTAAGCCGCGCTTTAACTTTCCAAGGTCGGAATTTGGGGGGGGGGGGGGAGTGAGGCTTATATTCAGGCCAATACGGTATCGACACAAATGCAGATTCTACGATTCTGAGAGTTGCTACTATCTAAATAGCAATCCAATGCATCTCCCCATAGTGAGGAAGACCCCAGGTGACTTGTGGGCTGCCTGGGATGCCCTCTAGGGTTTGCCACTTGTGGGACACTTCAAGTCTCAGCTGCTCTCCCCTTTCACAGTTCCTCATCTTTGAACCAGACTTGCACTGGGAAGCCCTCAAACAGAGGACTGCCCTCTGTAAAGCAGGACACAGGGCCACCTTCGTTTGCAGAAAACAAATGCTGGCCCCTGGCCGGGACGCAGTGCTAAGTCACGGATTGTTTCTTCCTACTTGCTGGCAGTGGAGGAGAACAGGCAAGATCAGCACAGTTTGCCAGGCTTTTACCATTTAGCTGTGATTCCATACCCGCCAATATTTTTACCTTTGGATCTGGGATACGTACATGATGCCTGCCTCAAATTGCCGGAAGCGACAGGGAGAAGCAGCAGCGGCAGGAACAGGGCTGCAACTCTCCTCCGCTGGGAACAAGGGAGGCAAGGACGGCCCCTGAAGGGAGGTCATCCTTGCATCACCGGCAGCATCACCGGCAGAGAAATCCGAGGGCTCCCTTGGACAAAAAACAAGGACACCAGCCAGGAATACCAGAGCAAAACAGCAGCCAGTAGGCTTGGTTGAAGACTGTTGAAGACTGTTGCGACAGGACTCCCAACTGCCACAAGGTGGAACAAGATGGAAGCCCCGAACAAAAGAGCCCCCAAACTTTTATTAGCTACTAATCCCCATGTTACACCCCCCCAAACTACATCACTAATACATCATGGTTACATCATGAAATGGGAGGTCTGGTGGAAGTAACCTGAGCATCCTGGACCCTGTCCCATGGTTCCCCTTGCCCTCCACCAAACACCCATCAAGTGTAACAAAAGAGATATTTACATTTCCCTGTTTCCCAGCCACGTTAATCACACCCTTTTGTCTTCATCTGGGTTTCTTATTTCTGGAATGGCTACCTGTCTGGCACTCAGGTATCAGGATGCCAGGAATTATCACTCAGGCAGAGGGGCTGCTGAGTAGCTGAGCTCACATGTCTATATGAATTTCTGAAGTTTTCCCAGTGAGCCAGTACATAGAGACATTTATCGGTGAATTCTTACATTTGGTATCGTGCAGCAGAGGCCCTTTGGATAGGAAGAAACTGTGATGAAGTGTTTTGTGGGGACAAATCACAAAAGTCACAAAAGCGATTGTGCTGATTTTGGTAGTGGGCTGCATGTGCATGATATCTGCTGGAGGGGCAACCCCCCCCAACCTATACATAAATTCCTGCAACACAGGGGAGCCAGAGCTGCTGGTTCCGGGACACAATTTGGGGCTGGGCTGCGGCAGCGGTTGTCTCTCTTCTTCTTCCCTCTCTCCAGGAGCCGCTATGAGCTGCTCAAGGCTGGCAGCGGTGCCCATGGAGAGGCTCTGCTGGCCGGCTCATCCTCCTCCCCGAGCTCGGCGGCAGCGGTGCTAGAGGGGGGAAGTGGGACATTCCTGCATCCAGACGGAAGCTGGGATGCTTCCATGACTCGGGGAGTGTCCCGCTTGCAATGGGGCAGTTGGAGGGTATGTGATTCTTCCTGCACTGCAGGAGCTGGACTTGATGATCCTTTGGTTGCCTTCCAACGCTACAGTTCTATGAATCCATGGCCACGAGGTGCACCCTGGGCTGCTGTGTTCACCATCACACTCAGCCCTCCCCCCCCCATAATATTGAGGAATAAATATAATAATTTATTATTTATACCCCACCCATCTGGCTGGGTTTCTCCAGCCACTCTGGGCAGCTTCCAACGGAATATTAAAATACAATAACCTATTAAACATTAAAAGCTTCCCTAAACAGGGCTGCCTTCAGATGTCTTCTAAAAATCTGGTAGTTGTTTTTCTCTTTGACATTTGGTGGGAGGGCGTTCCACAGGCGGGCGCCACTACCGAGAAGGCCTTCTGCCTGGTTCCCTGTAACTTGGCTTCTCGCAGCGAGGGAACCGCCAGAAGGAAGTCATCCTTGCTTTGCATTCCCAAGGAGCAACTTGCTTTGCAAAGGTCATTTCCACCACAGAGTCGGGTTAAGACCCGCCTCCCCAAATTGCCTTCTGCCACAGATTCCG